CTCACTAATTCTGAAAAAAAAGTTGTTTAGTGGTATCTGACTTTGCTCATTGGGATACTTGTATTTATTCTCTGAAGTCAGACAAGTTTAGAGTAATAGGAATAATGGAATAAGCATGGGAGAAGAAGTACTGAGTTCCTGTTCATTTCTGACTCTACTAGGATTTGAATTGTGCAGATCTACATAAGTTCCAACCTTTCCAAGACCCAGGTTCTTAATGTTTACTATATTTGTGGGAGCAACTTGAAGGTGGTGACTATATATTATTTATTCCTAATATCCAAGATGGTAAAACAAATATTACTAATTGGAGAGCCCTTTGAGGACAAGAAAATGTCTTACTGTTCTTTGTTGCACCCTAGTATTTTAAAAATAAATATGCATGATATACTATACTATAGATCACAATAGAATGTTGAGTGAATAAATGGAGATCAAGTTTGTTGCATGAATGAATAAAAGATTTATACTAACATCAGGCCTACCTGACATGGGGAGGGTCACATGAAAATACATGTGCACCTGGATTGTATAAGCTGAAAAAATTTAAGGTGTTCTCATAGTTATATATCAAACAGAACATACTGATTCCATCGTCTTTGCTCATAGGCGCATTTATAAATATATCTGTGGCATTTTAAATCATTCCCTGTGCTCTGCTCTGTTTAGATAGCAACTGATTAAAGTCTGCTTAGCTCTAAATAGCTTTATGTACTCTAAACTAGAAATGTATTTTTTCATCATGATATCTAATTAATTTTTTAAATGCCAGTACTAAAGCCTAGACATATGGACTATTAGTTTGACTATCAAAATATGTTATCATTAGGGTAACTATCACAGAATTTTACTACTTTTAAGAAATAAGGTTTTCTGAAGGCTCTGTATTTTTAGAACCTATGAGTGGTTAAATACTGTCACAAAAGAGCCTTCAGCTTGATGTATGGGGCATATTATTGCAGGGATATGTACTGTCTTATGGCATTAGGACACTTGAACTCCAGGGAGAAATTTGGGTAGAGTGTCTGGCCAATATGTCCTAGCCATCTTCCTGAAGCTGCCTAACGCTTGCTGTGTTTTGACCCCATTTCTCCCAAAGCACATTTCTCCTCCCTCTCACTATGTTTCAGATTCCCACTGACACATCATTAAAGGTTGGGGCAGATCCTATGAGACCATAAAGTCATTCCTTTGTGTTTTACATTTAATTCTGCCCCAACTTCTAAAAAAATGAATGGGATAGCTATTCTTCCTCAACTATCTTTAATGAAACATGCTTAACTTTTTAAAAATCATGCAGTTAGAATTTCTTATAATAAATGAAATTTCTGCTATTGCAGTTTAAACCCCTTTGTTCACTTGATGGAGAGGAAAAAAATCAAAAAGCTTGCCTTGATACCCTGAAATTTCTATATATGTTAGATTTCTATATATAAATTTCTATATATATTATAACAAATGTCTTTGTATTGCACAGATCCACATACAACATGAGCCAAATTATGTCCCCATGTGTAACATAAAGAGAGAAATGGTTGTCCCTAGTATCAAAATAACAGATAAGAAGCTCTTGAAAGACTGTTAGATCACATCTTGGAATAATTAATGAGTGCTCTCAAGGAGCACAGGGAGGTCATCTGTGGGTCCCAGGCTCCTCATCAGATACTCTGAAATTACACCTCACCTTGAATGGTGTGCTATGAATCCCAGGACACTCCTCTCCCAGTAGCTCCTTTCCTTCAACCTGGTTCTTTCTTCTCTCACAAAATTTGCTTTCACTGAATCACCCTCTGTTGCTAAGTTGTTAGTGCTAAAACATAAGACTGGAAATTGAATTAGGCAACCCTATGGATATTGTAAGTGTCTGATTATTTGAAATCTGGCAGCTCAGGCATCGAATGAGAAACATTTTCAATTTTCATTCAAAAATCTAGGACTCACATAGAGGTATTTAAGCCCACTTGACAGAGCTCTTCATTCAGAAGAAAAGACCAAACTCTAGGGAATTTCAGTCTCATGAGATTTGCCAATCAACCATGAATTTTCAGTGTGACTGTTATGCTAATGTTTGGCTGACTCCTTGGAGGCAATGTTGTCTGAACTAAAACATTCCAGTCAATTAAGTGTCACAGTCACATTCCTCTTCCCACCCGGTTCTTCACTACGTTCCACCTACACCATTCTGTTTTTCTAAAATGACAATTTAAATGAATAAAAAGCCAGCTACCAACAAATCTATAACTCTGACAAAGCAGTAGGAGCTTTTCAAGGATTCAAAAATAGGTAATTAACAATAAATTATGTATTACATCGTTTAGACCAGATTTCCCATCTGGGCAACGCTTCTAATTTTCTAACTTGAAAACTGTATGAAACACATGAGGAAATTCTCATTTGGAAGCTATATTCAGGCATGTATAAATATGTGACAATGAATCCACTATCATATATCATTGTAATGCATAAATAAATAAATAAATAAATAAGCTACATTCAGTTGAAGGTGACAAAAGAAAATGTATCTACTTAGCAAATACAACCCACTCTATTTTTAAACAGTGTCACCCCTCCCAACAACTTGTGTGTTGCTTTTGTGGACATAATAGGATAAATAAATATTTTATTACTATTAATACCTATATAAAATATGGACAAGTAGTTTGAATGATCTAACCAGTAAGTTGATCAATAATTTATATAGATTTTAAGTAAGGTAACAAGGAAAAGGAAGTATACCCTCCAAAATATAAGTGGTTCCATTATTTCTAGTCCAAATCTGTACAGTTCCATAGTAATGAGCTCACTGTTGTTAGATCACAGGCAGTATGGGGTAGGGGTGGGCAGTGGGGAAGTGAAAGAGAAGTAGAGATCACAGGATTAAAGATCAACACAGATATTCTCAGGGGATGCTGTAGTTGAGCCCCCCCACCCCGCATCTGACTCTACTCTTATTCTCCAGGGTTCTTCTAGACTGGTTCTTTCCTTGTTTATACCACCATCGTTCTTGACCCTGGTATATGCTCCAGTTGTTCACTAGGCAAGTATAGCTGCTTAAGAAGTCTCTTTGTTTCACTGAACATCTGCTAGCATTCATGTGTTGCAAGAAAAGCCTTGAATTGTTCAATTTTATTCCAGTATGTACTTACTGAGCTCATCGTAGGTATAAGGGATACTGTAATAATAACTCAGGCCCCTTCTTTTGGATTTTCTATTTCCATAATGTTATTTTCTTGATTCTATCCCCTACTCTTTGACGTTTTTCTACTTCCTTTTCTGTTCAGTGCTTTTACTACTATCCCTAGAGCAAACTCAATTCCCAAGTAATAACTTAGGTGAAGCACTGAGCACATTCAGTAGCAACATTGGGATGTTTATAATACCACCAACTGCTCTATTAGCTCAGTCACAAAATAAGCTAGAAGAATAGAGTAACAATAACCTTCATTATTTTATTCTTTTATTTGTAAGTTCTGCTGGAGGCAAAAGGCATACTTCAGGTAATAAAATCTTTGGCAGAGTATTATTTCATAGAGGCAACAACATTCTATAGAAAATGAAAGCAGGCAGGAAGTCAGGAGTTGAGAGATCCTGCTCCTCCAAACACTGGGTAACCTTTAGTAAATAACTGCCACAATGCTTACCTTACTTTGGTTTGCAATTTTGCTAAAATGTAGATAGTATTTATTATTATCTGATGGATATATGGGTTAAAGATTAATTCTCTATCTATGTCTTTTTCTTTAGATGGGAAGAAGTGCTAAGTAAAGATTTAGCATTTATAGTCTGATCATCAGATAATATGATTCTGTGAGTATTACACAGAGAACAAAAAGTCTTCTTCTTTTTTAAAACAAGTTTGGCAGCTAACTTCTAGGCTACAATGGTTTTGAAACCAGCAACTATGGTATCTAACTGGTAACGGTCCCTTTCTACAAAGTCTCCTTGTCTGAATAGGTTATCTGAACTTTTCCCTTAGAGTAATGGACTTCTTTTTTTCTAAGGCCTTAGGAAATCATGAGAAAGCATTCTTAAGTTTCCTCCTCAAATGTTGATTTGATGAGTGGAAGAGAATCAGAAGCATGAGCGTGCCTACAACAGAGAGGTCACTAATGAAAGAAAGGAACATAAGGGAGGAAGGACATGTCCTCTTGGCCTCCTTTATCAGAATACTGAAATGATGACATATCCATGACAGCTCCAAGGCCAGAGGTGAGAAGGTCTATTAAACATCCAATTTCATGGTATCCATGCTAAGAAAAAAAGAGTGTTTTCTCTTTCCACTGAGTGCACCTACTCAGAAATATTACAGATTGCATATTCAAGAAATAAATTCTTAGAAGACACTTCCATTAGTAGTCTGCTTCCAATTATATGTAAAGTTCTTCTGTTAATAAATTCATAACTTTGTAAGCAGTTTCCTTAAAATCTTTGAATTTCTAACTCTGAGAGAAATTCTATTATTAAAAATTGAAATTTTTTATTATTAAACGAATTTCCAGATTCATTTAGTAATGCCATTCTCAGAAAATTCCACGATTTTTTCTCCTCAACTCTCCATTACTGGGGTAAAAACATAAAACATAAAAACATTTATTAGAAACAAGCTTAAGAATTCTTTCACTTAGAAGCTCTAACATGGAATAGAAAGGAATAGAAAGGAGTAATGACTCAGTATTTTAGATCTATTTCCTGATTTTTGTCTAAACACATTGTGACCAAGTGGCCTTTACATTTTTTCATGCACATATACTTATATATATATATTTTTTTTTTCAACACACATATATTCTTAAATGTATATATTTCACAAAATGGAATGGAAACATAGCAAATGCTTAGATTCTGTGCAAACACATAATCCTTCCTGTGAAGGTAACATATTAATATTACAAAAGTAAATCATGGAGAGTAACATGCAACAACTGAGAGGAGAAAAACAGGGTGGGGGCAGGGGAATAGGAGCAACACAAAGAATGTAAAGAATGAAAAGTGTCATTGACCTGATTTGTCAGAGCTGTTGCCTGTGATTGGAGTGATGGAGCAGCTGGGATTAGCCTTTGCGCTGTCCTTGGAAGAAACCATTTTGGGTTTATTTTTCGTTGCCTCTAGTGCTTTGACCTTCTTGGCATGTTTACTTCCTTTGTAGTGGGCCTCGGCCTGGCTCTACAAAGGAGAACAAATCAGGCTCATTTTTTGCTACTTACAAACACCACAATGGATGACCATGCAGGAAAAAAAATACATTCAATCAAAGGCACCACAGACATTTACAACTCAGCACTTGACTATGTTTCGGCATTTAATGAAGTGGTAGACCAGTACCGAAGAGGTTTTAGATAATGAACCCTTCCTTGTATATAAGAGAGGATCTGTATTTTTGAAAAAACAGAGATTACATGAGTGGACAACGGGATTAGGGCAAAATTGTGAAGAAGGTGAGCTTTGTCATCAGTGCCCTCCCACCAATGCCCCTTGGGGTTATTTTTCAAGCATTTGGCTGACAGCAGCAACTTTGAGTGTCTACCAAGGTCATGCATGTGGGCATGACCTTCCACAACCATTTCCCTTCAAACTAAATACCCATCTGTCCCATTTCTCCTAGCTCTGTTCTGAGACAGGGTGATAAAGCAACATGTTAACAGATGCTATTGGGTGGAAAGGACACTACATTCTGGAGACATCTACATGTGCTTCATGGGTCACTTTGATGATTCCAGTTCCAAATACAGATACTGTATGTTACAAAAGAGGTGGGGATTATCCTTATTTCTGAAGTCATAGCAATTAGTGTTAAATTAATTTATACACAAAACATAAGTAGATCTGTGACTTTAGAACTAGATCAAAAAGGAAGAAAAGAGGTCAAGACAAAAAAGAAAAACAAACAAACAAAAAACCCTTTCAATAAAAAAGAACCCCAAACCAAATTATAACAAACTTAGAAAATATTCAGTTAATTTATTGACATTTAGGAAATCTCCTTCTCCCTCCCAAATAAGGCTTTTATCTTTATGGCACCTAATACTTATGGACACATTAACAAGAGAATCTAAGTAAATTCACTTGAATCTTATCTTGAACAGACCAAAAAATATGGAATGCATTTTGATAAATATAGACAAAACATATGGCATAGTGACTTAATTATAAGGTGAAATGGACGATAAATCTCACAAAAACAAGATGAGTTTTTAAGTAATGATAACTTTTTTTTTTTTGGTACCAGGGATTGAACCCAGGGGTGCTTAACCACTGAGCCACATTCTCATCCCTTTTTTATATTTTATTTAGAGACAGGGTCTCACTGAATTGCTTAGGGCCTCACTAAGTTGCTAAGGCTGGCTTTGAACTCATGATCTTCCTGCCTCAGACTCCCAAGCTGCTGGGATTATAGGCGCGCACACCTGTGTCCCGTGAAATAATGATAACTTTTTAAACATCAGTTTTCTATATTTATCTGTATGTGTATGAAGATGGTAGGGGCCAATGAGGCTTCACACATACATGAGGTAACAACTGTAATTCAGAGTCATACATGTGCAAAGGTGAGCTAAAACAGCAAACATGTATGTACAGGAGATACAGAACAAAATAAAAGGGACCAGAGAGGAGTGGTATGAATGAAGATGTCCTAAATTTAACCTTTTGATTTGAGATTCAAAGAAAGAGACACATAAGAATAGGCAGAGAAAATTACATTCTGGTGGGAGAATTTAAGCTTCAGGAAAGGACTGTTGCAGGAGTCCAGGACAGTGGGTGGGCGTGGCTGGAGAGAAGCTTAGATGGGCCTCTTGGTAGAACATCTTCAAAATGAGACTAAGGAAAGTAGATAGGTAGCACAGAGAGTAGGAGATAGTTGAGGTGAGATTCTCAAGTAAATGCATGATGATACAAATTTCAAATGGGAGGATCTCTACAATGGCTATTCTGTACACGTTTGTTGATTGGATATGAGAGAAAAAGAGACAGGCAGCAGGGAGAATATATGATTTTTCTTGTGAAATCACATCTTCAGAGTATGAATATAATAAAAATGTCTTAGTTATATTAATATCATTGATTTCTTAAAGGCTTGGCTATTATCAATCCTGCTTGCAATCCCTTACTTAAGAGAACTATTTCATTGTTAACTAGTAGATATGAAGCACTCTTCTAACAGCCCACCGCTAGACTAAGCCATCTCAGGCTGATTTTTGTGTGCTGTTGGAATGTTTTTCTGACTTCTTGGCTTGTTTCCTTCCAGCTCACCAGGCACATGTTGCTTTGCTATCTTTAGACATAGAGCTATAATTGGTTCAGCAGAATTGATGGTGAGCACCACTTTAAGGCCAATGTCACTTCCAGGTGCTGGTGGGGCATAAACTCAGCTTATCCTGAATGGATAAAAGACGCTGATGAATTTGTTCATGTCAAATGTATGGTTGATGAAACCATAAGTGTCACAGGTCATGTAATGAGTCAAATATTATATCTATGTACCACCTGTCACATCCAAATGGGAGTTTGATGATAGATTCATGCTATTGTTTTTTCAGTGGTCCTTGGTCTTACTATGTTATTTCACATGGGGTGGGAAGTGTTTAGAAAAATAATGTACTGCCTTGGTAGAAGTACACTTTAGGGATAGGTTTAATTTATGTATTACAACTAAAGATATAGCAGTGATTTTCCTAGTCTACATGCTCTATCCTGAACACTTTTCCATAAATATCTCTGTAGATCTTTATTGACTTCTTACTGCTCTTGATTGGTTTGCTCAAGGACTTTTCAAGGTTTTCTTTGTCAAGGTGAAAAAAAAAAATCCCAGGGGAAGACAAAAGTTGTAACATGTTAAGTCCTTTATTTATTGATGAGAAAATAGTTAAATCTCCATAGTTGTGGTTATAAATTAAGAGTAAACAAAAAATTCCAAATAATGTGAAGTATAATAATAATTATTATTATTGAGCACTGTTCCAGGCACTAAAGTTTTATTTAATCCCCATAATACCCTAAAAGATAGTTATCATTATTAGCCAGCACTTTCCAAACTAGAAATCGAGCATACAAAAGTTAAGTAACTCATCAAAAGTCACACAGTAGGTACAGATGTCACTTAATGGACATGAATATTTAATTATATGTCTACATATTATACCCACACTAAGTTAAACATTATAATTTTATGAGAAGTGAAAAAGTACACACAAAGAAAGCACTCTGCTTTTAATTACTCAGTGAAAGATTATACTTTAATGCTACTGAAATTTCTATGAGTTGGAAAATATCTACATAATTTTGGGGTAATATACTCATAAGTAGCTAAGAAGGTCCCACGTTTTAGGTATGTAACAGTTTTCATAAGATAGCAGGACTCATCTTTCCAAGTACAAAAAATAGGACAGTGTTACCTTAGTGGCCTTTGGCTAAAGAAACATATGTTTCTCTAAATAAAACTTCCTACTACAAGATAAGCAGAATGTGATTTCCTCATTACTAATTCCTGGCATCACTGCAGAAGGTTAACAGTGTCAATTAACACCTGGGATAAAGATCCAGCAAAGTGACACCTCACAGGGTGCCAAGATGGAAAGAGCTCTCCATAACTGTGTTCCACTTTCCTTTTAAGCTGTGGGCATGGAGAGAAGGGCAACGAGGGTTAGCTTCTACTGACTGTTGTGTGGGAAAAGTGAAGTGGAAGATTGTGGAATAAAGACAGGGTGGCAGGCGCCATTCACTCCCATTTGGCATCTTTCCAGTCCCCCTGTGCTGTTCTTGGTAGTGGCACTTTGCTATCCTTAATACTGTGTCTGAGGCAGTGTCAACAGCTTCTGCCTCCTGGGCAAATCTTCAAATGAAACTGAGACACTGTTAAATAGCAATCAGATTAACATGACTTCATTATCCAGGAATCTCCTTAATTGAGGAGTGAAAGCAAGGACAAGAGCCAGAGAACCCAGGAACCAGGTGATACAATCAAGTCCAATCTACAATGAATCTTGTATCATTTAGGAGAGACTTGGCCACACTGACAGCTTTACACTCAATGAGAAATCAGCAGACGCATGGGTGTACAGTACTAACAGTATTTTCCTTCTTCCCTTCCTGAAGTGCTGTGTCCCCAAGGGTCAGTGACCAAAGAATCCTCTGGACAAGAACTGCCAGAATGATGGTTGGGGATGTAGCTCAGAGTGTGTGTTTGGCATGCATGAGGCCATGGATTTGATTCCCAGCATCCCAAAAAGGGGAAGGAAAAAAAAAAGTTCATAACAAAAGTTGCCATAACTAGAAAGAGCTGGCAGAACCACCACCCTGACCTTCCCCTAAGTATTTATGGGTATTTAGGTTCTTCTTTCAGGGACCACTCCAGGAGCTACCTGGCTACTCCCTGGAGGAAGAGCTTTCAAAGGAAATGACATCCTGAAATCTTTTTCTTCCATTAATCACCTTTGTTACTAAAGCCCTTCACTTTCCCAAATCCTCTACTTTCTCAGAATCCCACTGGTCCAAATAAAAAGGATAATGAGATAAGGTATTGCTTTAGACATAAAAATGGAATGAAATATTCCCAATGAGAAGTTCTAAAATCCACTGTGCTCTCATTTCCAGTTTTCACTTTGTTACTAATTGTACTTCAGAGCGATGGCTAGGATCTTGAGTCAGGACTTTAAAGTGTGTTCACTCTACATGAAAACAGAATCCAAAACACAAACTCACAATGGCTAGGGAAGGCCAGGTTCCTGGACAAAGCACCCAACTATTTGTTTACCAACAGAACCAATTCTTTTGCATTTGAAAAAGTAATTAAGCCTATTCCCTTAATTAAATTTCTTTAATGTCATGAAAACTGCTGGCATCCATTTTATTTTTGAGATTTTTTTTTGGTGGGGGGGTTATAGGGGATTGAACCCAGGAATATTTTACCACTGAGCCACATTCCCACTCCTTTTAATTATTATTATTATTATTATTATTATTATTATTATTTATTTCGAGACAGAGTCTCGCTAAATGTTGGAGCTGCATAGCCTCACTAAATTGTTGAGGCTGGCTTGAACTTGAGATCCTCCAGCCTCAGCTTCCCAAGTTACTGGGATTACAGGTATACACCACTGTGCCAGGTTTTTTGAGATCTTATATGCCAAAGTGGTAGACAATGTTAAAGGAAAATAGCAGAAGTCAGT